AAGTGGTCACGGCCGTAAGGTAGCTGGGGTGAAGGCCTTCGTGGGGCAGGCACTAATGAGTAAGATAAGGTGGGGTCACGCAAACTCGAAGGACTACAGCGGGGGCGCGGCGAGGCGGTGAGGGGCAGTGCGGCGTCGGTAGAGCTGGGTGGGAGCTGGGCGTCTAGACGTCGGGCGTGGGGAGATTTCTCTCCTCCTCCCACATCGCGTTGTAGGCTTCGCGGAGGCCCGGCCGCCACCAGCTATCGGGGGCGAACGGATCGGCGGTGCGCGGGTGTGTCTCGGGGAAGTCAAAATTCACAAGGAATGAGTAAATCTCGTGGCGCGAGGCGCGGTGCGGATCGGGCGGCTCTGGGAGCACGCCATGGACAGAGTGGAAGCGACCAGTGCGGCCTGGGAAGCGGAATAAGTGGGGGAGGACCTTCGATGAGGGTCCCAGGAGCTTCGTCAGGACACGCGCGTCCGGGCCTGCTGCGCTTTGGAGACGCTGCCGCGCCGGAGCGTGGGCGTAGCAGTGCAGGAGGAAGCGGGAAACGAACTCTTCTGCCTGGCGGCAGCAGGGGCTGATGGTCGAGTCGGCCTTGCGGATCCTGTGAAGGTTCTTCGCGAGGTAGGACCCCTTGAGTAGTTTGGCGTCGTACTGCATTGTGCGCTCGTAGCGCGGCGACTTCTTCCAGTGCCTCTCGACCTCCAGCTTGCGCGCGGCGTTGAGGGACTGCTTGACAGCAGAGCGACTATAGGGCAGCTCGCCGCGGAGGCGGCTCGGGGTGTCGGCTGTCCCGTACGAGTCCCGTTGTTGAGCTGCCCGCTTCGTCTCCTCGTCAGCCCTCTCGTTCCCAGCAATTCCGACGTGTCCCGGCGCCCAACGAATCGTAATGCACACATCCGGGTGCTTCCGCATCAGCGAGCGCTGCAACCCGTGCCAGACATCCCAGATCCAGTGCGACGGCGTCGACGCCATGGCCTGTGTCGCCCTAATGGCCGGTTGGCTGTCAATCACAATGGTTACCGGTCCGCTGAGTTCCTGAAGCCGTAGCAGCAACCTCATGGCCAGGCAGCCACCTATCCCTTCGCCCTCGAAGACGGTGTGGTGCTGGTCGCTGCCCAGGTGCATCCGCGCGAAGTCGATCTCGAGTCCGTCCTCATAGAGGATTGCTGAAGCGCCGATCTGCCCATCAATCGCTTCCTACTTTCGGCTTGCGGTATTCCCACTTACGCGTCATGATCCAAAGAATATCGTCTACCTCACTGTGAACCTTCCTGACATCCAGGTGAACACCATGGATTACAGTCTTGAGCCCACAAAAATCTTTTTCAAGGCCACATCTGGAAAGTATGTCATTGACGACCCTCCTTCCAAGCATTACTTCAACTTTCTTTGCAGCGCCATGACAGGGTATGTCAAGGACTACACCTTCAGCCTAAACCTGTTCGCGGAAGTCATCCCGGAGGTTCGTAGTATCCATCTCAGCCATACCGTTTTCATGTTTGTCGCAGAAATCGTCTAAAGCACTGACGGAACGTTCGCTGTCCCTGGTCCTCCACAAGAAAGAGCGGCAGATCGAATACTGGCCACGCCTGACGAGGGAAAAGGACAAAAACGGCCAGATCAAGACGGACTTCAGCAAATGGGTTGACTCCGAGGATCAAACACTCGACGCCCAGGAACTCGACGCCCAGGATGACGACGATTTTGAATTCTGGAGCATGCCCCCTTCCTCGAGGATAGCAAGCCCTGGGATGGGCGGGATGGACTTCGTGAGGTCAGTAACATTTTACTCAAATACCGCCCCCATTCTGACGTTCTTTCCAGATGATGGTAGAAATGAGCGGCGGCGGATGCTCTAGTTTATTCGGCAACGGAAGCTCCCAAGGCGCGTCTGCCGGTTTCTCGCCAACCTTGAAACCAAAGTCCACCGCAGGCTCGTCATCAAAGAGAAAAACTCGTGATGGCGATAAAGAAGTAAACCCTATCTTGCGGGGGAACGAGGGGGCAACGGAGATTGCGAAGGAGGATAAACCAGCGGCAAAGAAGCGCAAGCGTCCCCTTTTTTCCAGAATTTCCGCAACTGGAACTGGACGCCTCCATCTTTTGGATGCCTGTACTTCCAGTACTCGCCGCTGAGAACGTCTCGCCACTTTTGTGTGGTCAACCCCCAAGAGATCGGATCGTCGAAAGTGTAGCGAATTCGGGAATGCCACGGCCGCCGAATACACATCCAAATGACGAAATACACTGTGGACAGAATCGGCAGTCGGACCGACTGCCTGCAAACAGTCGATCCGACTGTTGTGGAACAGTCGATCCGACTGCAGCCCAACACTCGAACCGACTGCAACTGCACACTCACCCCAAACTATATTTCGGCCATTTTGACACTCGGTGTGAGTGTCCCATGGCAGTCGGTTCGAGTGTTCCTCGGCAGTCGGATCGAGGGCTTCCATGCAGTTGATTTGACTGCTGTATATATCCTTCCATTTGGCTGCTAAAAATCATATATTAACCGCTATATAATTTACATTCACGCCTATCTAAACCAACCCGATACGAAACCCTCGAATCATCTGTCCCGAAGCTCAAAGTCAGTCAGCGCTGGATTGAAAGTGATATCACGTCCACGTACTGCGTTGGTGTTTGGAGTCATATTCTGTATAGTAAATTAATTCTCAGTGTCAAGAAAAAGGAACGTATAAGTACCATCAAGCCAGAAAAATCCCTTTAGCGCGGAGTTGAAGAGAAACTGATGATTCACTAAGTAATATTGACCAGTCAGTAGAACTTGGTGGATAATGCCGAATGGCCACCCACCTAGAAAGTTTAGTTCAGCCTGGGATTAAAGGTAATTTGAGATTACGAACGGGGGATGAACACAAATGCCGCTGAGAGCGGATGGCCCGCCCAGCGCGCTCAAAAGCACTCCCTCCAGCGCGCCGGCAGAAGCTCTCTCGGAGGAGCAAAGAAGCGGACGTGGTCTGAAGGAAACTCCCGTCGATAATCCTCGAGCAGGAAGCGGGAAAGAAGATCAGCTCTGATGTTCTTCTTCCCTGCGATGTGGTGGACTCGCAAGTCAATGCCCGACGTGAGAATGATTCGGGCGATAGCGAGGACGACACCGTTATGGATGGACTCCCTGGCCGGGAGCGAAGCCAGAACAGAGACGGAATCGAAGCTGTCGGACCAAATCAGCAAACGGCGAGGTGGGTTGGGTAATGATGCCGCGTGATGAACGGCGCAGAGAATCGCGACGAGCTCCAGGAAGAAGATGTCGATTTTAATGGTAGAAGGACACTCCTTCAACTGGTAAACGAAGCCCAAGTTCGAGTAGACGAAAGACAGCCCTATACGAAGACTTGCGTCCGTCCACATAACCGTGTCGGCATCACTGTCATTCCACATCATGGCGTCGACGAAGCGAACACCGATGCAGTCGCAAACGGCGGACGAGAGCCAGGTAAGGTCGTCAATGACCTCGCGGTTAAGGAAGACTTTCGCGTTCGCGTGGGCCTTGCCTTTCATTTTGCGATAAAGCTCTGTGAGAGCCGGACGCGCCCATGGCAAGACATTGAGCGCCCAATTGAGAAGCCCCGCTAATTTCTGCCAATCACGAAGGGGCAGCTGGAGATCCGGGCAAGAGATGAAGATGGTCACTTTGGCGATGATATCGGCGATGGACTCGGGAGAGAGCGAAATGCTACCCAGGCCCTTTCTCGCGTGCATTATTGCACCCGCTGACCCATCACCGACGCGTCGCTGATAGTGTTTGCTTTGATGCCATGGCATATTTTCCTTTTTCCCGCTGTTGGGTTTAACATTGATTTTTCCAATCTTTCCATTCTGGCTTGTTTCCTGCCCGAATGACGCATTGTTTGCCTGTGTTTATTTCCAACATACTACTGTGACAATTTATCCTGGGCTCCTTGGGTACGGAGATCTGGTTCAAGTTGTTGCAGCTCTCGTAGAGACTCCCGAGGTCGAACCAGACTTCCGAGATGTACGGATTGATGCGGATCGCGCGAGAGTATGCGTCAAGCGCGTTGCGGTATTGGTTGATCTGAAAGTACAAGACGCGCCAATGGAGGACTCCCAATGGAGCACCAGAACGTTGGGTTCCGGCCATCGCGATAAACCGCCTGCTGATATGCTTCATACGCCTTGGTGTACTTCTGGCCGGCCATGTAAGCGCGTCCAACTCTGAACATCGCAAGGATCTGGAGAAGAGGAAAGTTATTATTATGCATAGATGCGCGAGAAAAAGAACAGTCGGGCGTACCGGCTTCCAAGCTCTTGGTGAGGTACTGGATGGTGAGGTCTTGGTTCTGGAAGGACGAACCGTCTTGATATCAGGACAGCCACCCAAGCTGTTGAAGCACTTTGGCGTGACTTGGGTTGTCGGTATGCGTTCGTACGCATCCTTGGCGCTGACATGCTGACATGCTGACGGACAGGATCACATCAGAACAAAGAACGGTGACATACATCTTTCTGTTTGTTGTTCGTAAACGTGGCCGATTTGGAACCAAATGTCGGCATGTGCGAGCGGGCTCGGGGGATTGCGGAGAATGCGGGTCGAAGCACTGGCACGAGTCTTCGTATTTGTTTTGTTGCTTGTATATTATTCCGAGGCGGAAGAGAATTTCGTTTGCCTTGTCGAAATCTAGGTCTTCAAAATTCATCCAGACCGCCATCGACTTTCAGGTTCGCAAGGAACCAACCTTTGTCCAATGGCCTAGAAGTGGAGGTTAAAATGGTGAACGGGTGATTGCAAGCCTTAGGGAATTACCCAAAGCACTCCAGACTTCGCCATTCTCTTCTCGAACGCCAAGAACACGTTGAAAGAATTCGACAACCTAATCCGGAAGACGAAAAGTTGGTGCCATTCTTACCTTTCCTTTGGTATTTTTGGGTTTTCGCAATAAAACGATGTAAGATTCCAAAACTAACCAGCAAGAAAGCGCAGAAAAAAACGAGATTGGTCAAAAACCCGTAAAAATGCCAGAGATGTCATCACTCGGATTCGAACCGAGACCTCCCCGCTAGTGATGACGTTTCCCCTCGCATATAGCTGGGACGCCGTAACCGTTCGGCCATAATAACATTTTCTGGCTTGCTGTCTGTTCTGAGGAGATCTATATCCCACATGTAGATGGATGTAAATATAAAATATACCTTCAATCACCCGTACAAAAGACAACTATTGAGATGCAATGTAGCTACATTACACGCCAGAAAGAAGAGAAAAAAACAGTATTAGAATCGACGTTTGAATAGTTCATAATAGGCTGCCATCCCTTCCATCATCCAAGTCACGTCGAGGACAGCTGCCTCCCAAACTTCCAACTCTGATTGTTCGCCGCCGGAAACCGTACGACCCAGAAGTAAAGTGAAGCAAGAATACTTAGCGTACCGTTGACTCCCCACTGATAAAGCGGACCCCATTCCCTTCCTGCTTCGCCATAAGCCTCGATGCTCCACCTCCCGTCCGTTTCTTTTTCCCTCCAGCTCGGTTGGAGGGAATCCCACCACCGCTGCCACTGCGCAGCATACGCGCGCGGGTCCGTCACCCTCGGTTCTAGCCCTCGTTTCCCACGCAAATTCTTCGAGATCCAAGTCGACACTTGCTCCGGGCGGTGTTTGCTGGGCAGATTCGTCGGCCCATGCTCGAAACGCGACGCATGCTCGACACGCGTCCAGGCGGCGACCAGCGCGTGATAATGACACCCAAGATCGATGTGCGTCATCTTGGTGTGTGCGTTGGCAAACCAGTCAGGAGCATTGGGCGGGCACGGTGGCAACGTTGACAAACCTGCCACCGCACCGCTCGGCGTGCTTGGCGCTGGCGCCGCCATGGCAACGTGGACCGCATGCGACAGCGGCGCCAGGGTAACCTGCACCTCGGACCCGCCTTCGGATGTGGGGGGCGGCACGCTGCTGGTGGACGTCGACGACTCGGACTCGACAGTAGGTGAGGCTGGTGAAGGCGACGTGGACGGAAGTGGGTGCGATGCGGTCAGCGTCGAGGATGCGTCGTGAACGGGAGTTGACGAGGTGAGCGAGGATGTTGATGGTGACGAGGACGTGGCCGCGGTAGCCGACGCCGAGGCAATAGGAGCCTCAGGGTCCGGAGTATCTGCCTCCATGTCAACCTCGCCAGCACCCGCCCCAGCTTGCGTGTGGCGTGCGGACCTGCGGGCTGGACCCGCTGGGGTCTGCAGTTTCCGTGGCTTGGGCTGTCGGGCCCGCTGCATTGCTAACGGCTCGGTAAATGCCTTCCACTCCGACTTAAGTGCCTCCAATGCAGCGGCGTTACGCTGGAGATTCACCTCGCGTTCCTCCCGTGAGATGTGCCACGGGCTGCGGGGCGGGGGCGGGGTTGGGGACGGGGACCGCCAAGGAAACCCCTGATAATCCTGACCATCCTCGTCGTCGTCGTCGCAGTCTTCATCTTCGGGGCTGTGATTGCCGACAGGGGTGGCGAGTGCCTCGACGAGCGGAGGAGGCTGTGATGTGGCGGGCGGTGGGGACTCGGTCGTGGCGGGGAGAGTAAGAAGTGCCGTGGCCGCGAGCGCGGGAGGCTGTGACGTGGCGGGTGGCGATGGGGACTCGGTTGTGGCGGAGAGAGTAGAAGGTGGCGTGACAGCGAACGGGGATGGCTATGACGTGGCGGCCCGAGGCGATGGAGGTTGCGTCGTGGGGGACGGCTCGGTGGCGACAGTGGCGCCCTGATTTTTTGTGCTGATCGACTTCTTGCTCAACTTTGAGCCGGTGGCGGGTTTCTTCGCAGGTTTTGCCGTGGACTTCTTCGATTCTTTCGCGAGCTTACGCTTCTTCCGTGTGCGCGCCGTCTCCTCTTCATCAGAGCTAGCGTCGCTGTCAGAATTGGAGTCCGAGTCGGAGTCCGAGTTCGAATCGCTCTCCGAGTCGGACTCGGGACCTTTATTGCTCCTGATGGTGTATTTGGCAGCGCTCAAGTCGGTAGTATTTGGCAACGCAGCCTCCATGCAGTCCTGTGGGTCTGTTTTCGATTACCGTTAGATTGCTGTCAAACTCGCTAGGAAATTCTAACGCACTGAAAGCGGTCTTCAAATACTCTACCATGATGAACTCTTGGACGTCCCTGCTGAACCGGCGTTTATCCCATTGCGCCCAGTGATGGCCCAAGGCTGTATTATTCCGCCCGTAGGAGAAACTAATACTATTGTCAGTCTGCATTTCCACTTTGTGACTTTGAGTGACATACTGTAACGATCGAATCTCGCCTCCATACGCTGGCATTGGTCCACCGAGCATAAGGGTGGGGTGCAGCCCAGTGTAAGCATTTAGTCCCTGTAGAATCGGGGCCACAAAGTCGGCGACGGCTTGAATACACCTGCGACGCATCATCAGTAGTAGCTCACGCACAACCATCGACACTTACCTTTGGCGCGCTTCAGGGGTCTGGGCAGGCGGCTCCTGCAGCGCTTTGACGTATGCTTTCTTCGCCTCCACTGCGTCCACCTTTGCCCTCACCCCAATTTCTTTCTGCTCCTCGAGCGGCAATGCAGCAAAGACCTCCCTAGCTACCTGCGCGCGAAACCCGGCTTTAGGCTCCTTGGTGCGCTCTGAAGCCACACCATTCGCGGCACGGTCCGCTTCCCATCGCTCCGTCACTATGGGGGCAATTTTGCTGGCGTACAATTCGTGCATAAATTGCTGATAAGCTTGGCGTGCTTTTGGCGGCGAGGACAGTCCAGAGAGTTTCGCAAGGAGGACTGCGTAAGGATCTTTCAAGGGATCAAGGCCAGCCGTGCTGCGGTGTTTGCGGATGCGGCGGATTCGGTACGTGAACCATCGGCGGATGCGCTGGATGAGACGATGAGCTCAAGTGTCACAGTACGTGACCGTTGTGACTTACCTTGTTGAGCGACTTCACGCGCGCATTCTTACGCTCCTCCTGCTCTACAGTTAGTGCTTCCTTCGGCAGTGCCGCAGACGGATCCCAGTCTGTCAAAATTGGCTCCTCGTGATCTTCTGTCGTCCAAGGGACGCGTGCGTGATATTCCTTGCAGACTAGCTTCCAGTATTTGCGCTCTTGCCGCCAGCCTTTGTCCAACGCCGCGCCGTAGTCGTCAAGGGACTCAGGATATTCTCTCGAGACCCTTGTGCCCAGAGGCGCAACTTCTTTCTCTCTTTTTTCGGGACTCCCTTTCGCTCGCGTTTTTTGGATGACTTTGGCATAATCCTGGCTTTCCATTCTCAGTGTCTGCCGCGCTTTGGTACCTCAGGGACAACTCACCTCTTTGTCTCTGCTGTGACGATTTAGTGGTGGATGTACTTTGTTTGGAAGGGATCGTGTTTGTTTATTTGCACATTCGCGCTCATTTCGGATTCAGTCAATTTCCCAGATCCTGACACGCATTTAGATCTTAACGGGAGCCCCATTCGACAATCACGGCGGAATTCAAACTCCTCCACCTTATAAAAGCTGTCCTTCCCACTTTGATCTCGTTAAACCCCCAACTTTCTACCACCATGACCAACTTTCCTCAATCCTCTTCCGGAACAGCCTCTGTTCCAGTAGCGGCCTTTGCTTTCCCCCCCAACAGTGACCGTACGTTCATCCATCTCACTGTCTCTTCACCTATTGATCTTCCCTCCTCTAGCCGCCGCTATCGCCAATTTCCAGAACATGTGGGCGGCCATGACCGCGCTCTCCCAAGGCCAAGGTGATCCTTATGCTCCCTCCTTCTCATAGTGTCTCACTCACGTCTTCAGTGCTTCCCCCTGCACCTGCTCCAGTGTTTGCAGCCCCAGTTCAGACCGCCACACCCGAAGTTCCAACAGCTGTGCCCGTTGTTCAAAACCCTGTTCCTCCTGCTCACGTCGGATTTCACACTCGCGGCCCTTGGGTCGCGGGTGCATTGTATACCGTCGTTCCTACTGCACCCCTCATGCCCATCGCCGAGGATGAGCACACTGGCGGGGACGCGCCTTCCTGGTATGCAATTACGCGCGGCCTCTATGTCGGCATCACCCTCAGCAACGCTCTCGCGGTCAACGCCGTTGTCGGCGTCCGCGGCAGCGGCATGAAGGGTTACACCACTCAAGCCTCGGCACTCGCAGCCTTCAACGAGCTCCTCGCCTACAATATGGTGGCCGTGATCGCCCAGCAATGATGAACAGCAAGTTTTCACGCGTTCTTCTCGTGTTTTGTGTGCTTATCAATTTTAGATCTCCCCTTCCTGCCCCCAAATGACTCTGAACCCGTATTCCAGCCGTATTGTCGCGTAGTTCGTAGTTCACCGTGTACTGCCGTAGTATCTGAGAAATGACTTTGATGTGGCATATCGTGTCAGTAACGTAACATAACAAAAATCATACCCTGATAAACCATCCACGGATCAAAACCCAAATGAGCAGATCTACAACTCTTGTGCTTCTTCCCACCAGATCTCTTTCCAGATCTCTCTCCCCATACGGCCCTTTCCTTGCCCTTCAACTTCAAGGCTTCAACCGACCCCAGCTCGGGTCTCAGCTGCCTGCATTCTGATCGCGCTTGACATTGCTCTGATTGTTCTTCTGATTCATTTTCTCAGGGCTGGGGCACTTATCTTCTCTCCAACTTCCTTCTCCGTGCGCATTTATCGCCCACTTTTTTTTTTTCGCAATCCATGACAGCCCTCGATAGCTCAGATGTGTACAACGACGAGGCGATCGCCCATCTCATTGCCAGCCTCGACCTAGGAGACGGCCCTTTGTCACCCGCCACGCCTCTGCCTCGCACTCCATCGCCTAACCCTCCCGCCTACAGGGCCAGCGCTCCTCGCACCCTTTCCTCTGCCAATCTACGCAGGCATCCCCCCCCACCACTGCAACATACTACTATGAATCCCCCACGAGGTCTGGGTACACCACGCAATGGTACTCGGGCTTCTTTTTTACTCTCAGGAGACTTTTGTTGACGATTGTACAGGTCCCGCGCAGGCATTGCGACTCAAGGGGTTGTCTGTGCCAGTGTCCACACCGTTGAGCGCGCCACTCCCATCCCAAAGACCAAGAAGAAGGTGTATGTGGTCTTCTGCGGCCTACGCTGTGGCGTGTTCTTGACTTGGTACGCC